ATTGAGCATCATCTTTCCCGTTTTCACCACTCTTCAGTCCTAGGTTCATCACAGAAAGCAACAACTTTTACATGCCATTTTGTAAAACCTTAAATGGCTGCTATGTCTGTACAATTTAATTCAAGCAATATATGAATTGGCTTAAACATGCAGAATCTGACAAGAATGATAGCCATGCAGAAACTTAAAAACAAGTAAATTTACTACCACCCTGGCAATTGTGAAACAGGATACAGCTTAAAAGACTGATATCCAGTTCTGAGGAACAGAGATGCTTCTTCTAATGATCTTGAAAGTCTCTATTGCCATCCTTCACAGCCCAAGTTGCATCATTCCCTAAAGGCTGCAGAACCACTGCTTCAGAGCTATCTAGTACATAGGGCTTTCGACGACTTGAGTATAGTTTCAAAGAGGACAAAGCATTTTGCTTTGCCTCACAGAAACTTCAGCACATCCAAAGCAAAGTCCAACATGCATTTACCAAAACAGGCTGGAATGCTTAGGCTAAAGCTATTGAACAAATCGTGGTCTAAGAAACACACGATGCATCATGTAGCAACCATCTTCTCTCCATGACATGATGGGAGTCCTATGCTCAGGGGCGGTGCGCAGAGCTATAGAGTTGGTTATAGCTTCTCTGATTCATTTCTATAAAAACGGGAATGAAACTGGGCACCAAGAAAAAGCTAGATGTAAGGGGCCGTTCGGTTTTGCAAGTGATCAAAAGACAGATGATAAAACTAAAAAATGCATTTCTCGAAATGAAGTAAAAATTTATGTAAAAAGAACCACATTTATAAAAAATGCAACTAATCTATTTTTTGGAAAATCTTTCAAAACGCCGTGCATTATATGATTGAAATCATGCGATAATGTTTTCTTTAAAATTAGGCATTTAAAATTGTTCTTTTCTGCTTTGCTTCATTCTTGACCTTGAATCCGAAATTACACGTTTAATACGACTAAAAACACGCTCGCAGTGCACGCTGGTGAGAGGTGTTACGGCTGCTAATTTCAATAATGTCATAACTTGAGGTAGGGCTTCTTCGAGCTCGGCATCCTTTATCACGGACAGTAGATCCTGTAAACCGGCGTACCCTTCCTTTACTGAATCGAAGTCAATACCTTGTTTACTTTCGATCTCAAATTCATTTTTTTCTTCAACATCGTCTAATGCCTTCCTTTCTACTGCAATATCCAATGCTGTTTCCTCGGATTCTGTTAAATGCTTCATTCGACTTTCCTTTTTCTTGGCGACTACAGCATCTCTCTTGCACACTGCCTTGTTAAGTATTGTCAATATTTCGCTATTTCCGTACAAGATTTCAAGGTTGTTCTCAACGGCAATGAGATCTGTAACAGCAAATCGATACAGGTTTTTCAGCTCATTGATTAATGCTCGCTGGTTAGCAGCAGATGCTTTCCTCCTTTCATCAAATTTGCTTTCATCAAATCAATCCACTTAAAATGATCCAAATTATCAAACCTCCAGTTTATTTGTTCGACAAATAACTGGCAAACTTGTCTTGCAATGTTTTCCAAAGTCGATCTCCATTTACTTTGTGAGCCATTTATTTCTTGATCCATTGCCCTCCATCCTGTTCTTGCTCTAACGCTTGAGAAGTTAGGGTCAGCAAGCAAAGTGTCCTCCCAGACCTGACTGAAATTAAAACTGGATAAAATGTTTACAAAATCGTTCATCATTGACCTCAGTTGAACAGGGTCCAAAGGAGGTTTCTGCATCAGGGTGACTATCGGGGTGCTCAACTCAAAAATCTTTCTGTAAAGTTTCAGAAAGTAAACAAATTCCACATCCTGCATTTGAGTACCAAAACCCCTTGCATTCGCTTGTGTTCCAGTCTTCTCTTTTACATCATGCGATATTTCATAGAACGCTGTTCCAGTCGCTTTGTAATGAGTATCGATAGTGCTTATAGCCGTATCACCTGGTTTTGGGAGATTGTGGCCAAGACTCGTTGTTCTCTTTGGGCTGTTTCTAAAAAATGTTATCAACTTGTCAACAATACCGAAGAATTTTGCAATTTTCGGAATTTTCATTGCTGACTGTGCAGCACAAAGTGACATGAGCCACGCAATAATTGTAAAAAGCAAATGGATAATGTTCTTGCACTTTTTTTGCACCCCATTAAGCGAGCCGCTCATAACAGCTGCACCATCATATGATTGCCCAGTAACTTTTTCTTTGCATGTTGCTGGCATTACTTTATATTTTTCCAGTGTGCTGAGCAATATGGAAGTAAGGTTTTCAGCAGACTGATCATCTGAGCAATCCACCACACCCAGCATATGGTCTTCAACCTCCCCATCATAAACAAGGCGCACAGAAACGACTGTCTGCTCCACATTGCTAGCATCGCTACTGTCATCCAACATTACTGCTACGAATGTAGATGCATCAATTCTTCTTTGAATTTCCCCCCTCACTTCTTCTGATAAGCACTCTATTAGTTCATTTTGTGGGCCATGAGAAGTATATGTTATTCAAATGTTGTCCCTATAATGCCCCTCAACCGCGTTAATTTCATGACGCGATAATTTTATATACGCGTTAATTTAGTAATACATTAATTTTGTGACAGTGTTAATTTAATGAACGTTAATTGTGTGCAAAAATTGTAAGAAAGGCAATTTTTTCAATTGGAATATGGTATGAAAACAAAAGGTTTCTTTCATTTAACAAATATTTTATCTATCTATTTCTTCGTTACTCTCACTCTCCTCGCTGTCACTGGATTGATCATTGTCCAGAATGACCTTCAAAATTTGTGACGAATCGTCGCTGTGTTTTGTATCTTCTGGGTAAGCAACCTTTTCTACGTAAAAAATGGAAAGGGCTGCCTTTAGAGATTACTTCACAAACATGATAACGAAGGAGCTTGAATCAGATCTCAAAAAAGATGTAACAACGATTAAAGTCGATCTCAAATTGTCAACCCTGAAGCCTATCCATGCTAAGTTAATGAATGAAATTTATCAACACTTTAAACAGGCAGGTCGTCAGACAATTTTAAATGGATTGAAGTCAGCAGGGGTGGTTCAAGCCGTAGAGGGTGCCAGGAGTGGTGCGGTAGCAGAATTTAACACTTTCGCATAGTGAAAAAAAGAAAGTTTCAAAAAATGTTGTTTTTTATTCTACTTCCCCAATCCGCGTTAATTTCATGCACCCGCAATGTATTTTTTTGTAAAACCGCGTTAATTTTATGCTTCCAAAATGCAAATTTTCTCACAGACTTCGTTAATATTATGACACATTGATTTCATGACGCATTAATTTCATGATTCGTTAATTTCCTGTAATAAGGTAGATCCTGACCGGCCTTCAATTGTTAACAAAAATCGAGAATATATGAAGATGCTGCTACAGTATCACCAGCATTTCTGCGCTAAAGAAAGGCTTACCGAAGGCTTGATAAAACAAGTGAATCACTAAATGCAGGCAAATGGAAAGAATTCATCAATCTGATGTTGCGTACAAATCTCTTGTTCAAAATGTTACATGGCAAGATGAAGCATTGGAACAGAACCTACAGTTACACATCCAAGCGCTCAGCGAGTTGGTCAAAGCAATGTCTTTTGAGGGGAGAAGATCCATCAAGGAAAAGACTACGGCTGTAAACAATGTAATAAAACGTGAGATTCTACAATCTAAGCATACTGCGTTGTTATGACCCAGTAGACATTTGTGTCAAATAGACGATGTGATTTCCTAGCTGCAGCTGCAGCTGCAAAGCCTGCCCTAAACATCAAGGAGGCAAAAGGAACAGGAAAGCGGAAGTAGGCTCTGAAGCTGTGGGTTTTGAATGAAGTAAATTGAAGAAAAAGTAGTCTTCTTTGTGTGTGGAAAAGATACTGTAGTTTTACTGAGGCAAGCGCTCATTACTTTCGCTCTTTCGCTGTCAAGAAGGAAGTATAATAAAGTAAGTTAGAAAATCTTTTAGAATCATTCTCATTTCTCATATAGGTATTTGCAGCCCTCTTAGCATAAGAGTCATTTCAAAAGTGTGGTTGATTGTATCTTACAGACTAAAGGTCATTTAATGGTACAATTAAATGCTTGAAACTTTCAAGTTGTTGAAAGAACTACTATTTAATAACTATTAAAGAAAGAACTAAATTGCTAAAGAACTACTGTCATAACAATCTGGAGTTATGAATTATACATCATAAATATGATGACACTAGGTTGATAAAATCGCCCACAATGGCTTAAGGCTACCTTTAGTTAAAATACTAAAAAAAATTGTTCTATGTTATTTTACTCTGAAGCTGGTATTCTGGAAATTATAAAGGAGTTTGAGGAGCCCCAAGCCTGTTTGAAATATTAATGAAAATGAAAAGAATGTCTTTTGATTACTATTTTATGTTTTGCCTACCGTAGTTTCTTGAAAATTGGCCGTCCCTCGAAAATAAGTCAATTTGAAAAAGCTGGATATTTTACTGAAAAACAGAAAATAAACCAACACGCAGTGAAGCTGTTGCATTGCACATGACTTTAAATGAGTTGAAACCCCACAAACAGTTGTTCTTTGCTAAATTTGATGCAGAAGTTTTCAAGTAAATCACAGAGAAAGGCTGAGAGGGCAAATGGCTACGAAAAAAACAACCGCAAAGGTTAGAAATTCAAGTCATATTGCAAAATATTGCAGTAAAAAGTGTTGTTGTATTCATTTCTCCTTAGCAATGGCTTCTAATCTGCCTGCAAAGAGAAAAAAATCTGGGCCAGAATCCAAAAGAGCTAAAAAAGTGTGTGAAATAGAAAACAAAATAAGTGGATCTTTCATGCAAAACACCTCAAGCCAAGCAAGGTTGTTGGTCTCAGCAACGACAATCTTGAGCCATCGGCATCTACAATTAAAATCGGTGACACAGAACATGTTGAAACAAACTTTTTGGAAGAATCCCTTTGGCAAAATCCAGGGGGATGACACAGAGGAAGGTCAGAAGATTGAGACAATTGGAAGTGATGATAGCAATGCTTCTAAAACCACTGCTAACTCTACGGGATAATCTTATTTTCCTGCTGGTGAGCGAAGTGGCTTCAATTCAAATATAGTCATTTCTGAAAAGAAAAACACATTTGATCCTGCTTTCATTGTTGGAATAGCCCTCACTAATGCCAAGAAAGAAGCTTGAATACGAATGAATCCTTGATGAAGGATAGCCTTTTCTGTATTCCTTGTCCTCTTTTTAGCAGTTCAACTTCCGCTGATAACCAAGGAAATGCATTTACCATCACTTGATTCAACACCTGGAAAAAGCAATATGGAAGCATTGTGAAGCAGGAAAGGTCTGTATGCCACCTAAATGCAAAGGTTGGAAACTTTTTGGAACTACTCAAGCTTCTGTCCGAGTATGATGAAGCTACAAAAGACCACCTTACAAAAGCTACAACGATGCATAGAGAGGTGTCTGAACAGCAGGCTGGTAAACGAGGTGTGAGGGGTCGAGGTTTCAAATTGACATTTCTTAGTAACGACTCATAAAACAAACTAATAAGAATTATCAGAGATCACATCAAAAGTAGTGCAGAAAATCAAAACCTGCCGATCTTGGGCACTAATGCCAGATACAACACTTGACGTCACGCACAGTTAAGCAAATGCATCGTTAATGAGGCTGGAGAATCCTCAGAACATCTATTTTCCTGTCAAAGAGCAACAGAAACGAAAGCTAACGAACTTTACAATGTCATCATTACAACATTCAAAAAGATTTTGGCACCAGCATACTACGCTGCTTCAAACATGAGTGAGTGTTACAATGGGCTACAGGCACTCATTAAACAAAATATTGGAAATCATGTTGCATACGTTCATTGTTATGTCCATGTTCTGAATTTGATGCTCTCTGGCGCAGCTGGTGTTGCAATAAATGTGATCAGCCTTTTCAGGTAATTTGGAAAAGTTTTACAATTCATTTAGTAAGTCACACAGAGTGCACTCATTTTTTGAAAGTGCCCAGAAGGATGAGAGCTTGAAAGTGTTCTCGGTAAAGCGCTTGTACACCGTTAGATGGAGTGCAAGATAATTTTTCCTGAATAGGTTCTTGTCAAGGTTTGAATATATTGCGAAAATGCTGGAGGAAGTTGCTGCAGAAATTTTTTGAAGAAAAGCAACGCTCAACAGCAAAAAGATTGTTGGCATTTTTCCAATGCAAGCAGATCACAGTAACCGCATGTCTGTTCAGAGAAATATTTGCAATTGCTGGTCCTCTTAGCCGATACATTCAAATTATTAATGTAGATTTTGGACAGCCTCTGCAAATGGTTTATTCAGCAGTTTTACAACTACAAGAAATGAGAAAAATTCCTGAAATGATAATCGCAAGCAAAGGCAGAGTTTGAAGGTATAGAATGGAGGGCAATGAGAGTTCTTCGCAGAAGAATGATGGATGGAGAGCTCCAGCATGACTTGCCAGCAGAGACACTCAAAAATCAGTGGACACGAGAGACATTCCACTGCGTGCTGGAAAAGTTTGTGCATACAATAGGTTTTTTTGTTCCTCCCTTTGTTTTAGCTGCTGTAAATTGACTAGATACCCAAATTCAAAGGAATCTGAGAATGATCAAAGAGATACAGCGAGCATTAAATGCCCATAGGAACCAGTGAGTGGCGTGCGGGAATTGCGCTTTGCAGGTGTAGGCACACAATAATTGTTTCTCATATTATTCCTTTTGCATAATTGATCCAGACAAGTCTCTGCTCTTTTGTCTACTTGTACATCTTTATGTGGATATCATTGTTCACTCTGTTGCCATCAATCTTGATCGCATTGATCTTTTCTCTTCTTCCCCCTGACATGGTTAAACACAAATTTCATGATTTTATATTTGTTTACATGAAAACAACATCCTATGCAATGGTTACATTTTATTTTGTCTTTGCAAAATGTATTGTAAATGTATTCCTGGAATCCATTTGTTTGGAGACTCCTCTCATGGGACTTTCTTCTATTGCTTTCTGGTGATATAAAAACAAATCCTGGCCCTCAAATCTGCAAGTGCCTGAAGTTTTTTCATTGGAACGTGAATAGTATTTGTGCTAAAGGTAACGTTAAAATTCCACTTATCGAGGCCTATGATTCAATTTACAAAAATGATATAAATGCGATCTCAGAATCCATGTTAGACTCTACTATTGATAATGAAGAAATCTGTATTGAGGGCTATAGTAAAGAAATTTATTGTAATGATCACCCAAGCAATACCAAAACTGGGGGAGTGTGCTTGTATTTTCGAGAGAGTTTGCCAATCAAACGCAGAACTGATCTTGAGTTACTGCAAGAAATTATCGTTGATGAAATAACTTTAGTGCGAAAGAAAATAATTTTCATTACAATATACCGTAGTCCTAGCCAAAACAGTCATAAATTTG